ATTTTGAGAAATAAGCATGCCTTTAAAAAAAAAAAAAAAAACAAGCAACAGTTCAAACTTTTAAAAGAACCTGCCAAAACCTCAACTGAAAAATCCAATATAAAAGACAAGATATGATTACATTTCTGAAGCATGCATGTTCAGTTTATGTCATCAAATGATTGTATTCTTATGCCAAAAAAAGGCTGGTCAGATAATTAGATTTTTTTACTAGAAAATATAAGTGACACTTTTGATTTGCACAATGAATTTGATTAGAAAACTTTAACAATGATGAACGTTACCATAAAAGTTATTTTGAAATAATGTTTTTCTTCTTCACTGTAAACAGTCAGGAGGGCAAAAACAAATACTGCTCTAAAAATAAAACATGCTCATCATCACACAGACTGCTTTGCTGTATTTGTTCCATTAGGTAGTTTAACTACTAAACACCACACTGCCTTCAGTACCACTGATACATTTATTTACTGATGCACTCATTCGTTTATGGTCCTAAAAGGATTAACAATCACAGCAGGCCTAAGATATGAGTCTGAATGTGTAACATTAACATCAACTTGATGCTTTTTTTCTCCTAAAACTCAGAGATGAGTCATTTTAAATCACAATTCCTGATTTCAATCACATAAAACTCTTTGTTGTGGTATCAACTGACAGGGAAATAAGAATCCAGAGATTATTGGGACAAGGGGAGGTCCTTAGGTGGATCGCTGCTATTCTAAGAATTTACTTTGACCAAACAGGAACAGAGAGAGTGGGCAGGCAAGACCACACTTTAACAAAGCCAGGGACCTACAGCCTGTTCTGATACATTTTAAATTACTTCAGCTGAATGGACCCACTGTTGGGCTCCATGAATCATAGTAACACATCGCTTGCTGTGCTTATAATCACCACACAAAAAATAGGTAAATCCAGCTACCGCTGGGAGCTGATTAAATTACAGTTTCATGTTTTCATTTTGCAACAATATAATTTGCAGCAATCAGCATCTATCCTTTTAAAACTCCAGAGCATGTTAAAGCTGAATTATATTAGCATTGGCAAAAGTTAGATGTAGCTGCAATCCGAGTTAAGAACCAGCCTCTCCTTCTCATTGAGCAAACACTCTATTTTGCATGTTGCCATAGGGTCTGGTGTCTCTTCCTTTAGGGGATTGAGGAGTGGTTCCTTACTTGAAATCCAAACAAGCTGCCATGCATTGTTTAAATGCAACATAACTAATTAATTTATCAGTTGAAAAAAAAAGAGTTATAGGGCACTTTTGTATTATATCACAAGAATAGTCCTAATATGTTTCAAACACAACCAAACAAAGTAAGCAGTAAAAGAAATTGACCAATAAAAGTTACTTTTAGGTCAAAATAAGGATTCTTGATAATTATAATCAGAAATAAAAATAATTGTCGGTCCTAATTACAACAAAATCATTTGGTTATTAGTTTTTTTATAAGTTTGGAAACAATTTAAGGCAACTCTTTATACAAACATCAAAATAACAAACATGACAACACATGCACCATCACCTCAACATTATTGCATTTTACATTAGTGTAATTTCAGTCAAATGAATGCCTTGTGCCACGATTTACATTCACCTACTGCCTTTAACCCTTTATAGGGCAGGCTACTGTTTTTGATCACTTGCATACCCCTTATAAACGGAGTCCCCCCCTCATCCTTCAGTGAATTCTAGAAGCACAAGATCTATATCCAGCCATTCAGCAAAGATGCTGCTACATGGCTGTACATCTTATTTTGGCATTTGACCAATTGGATCAGCCCTTGAATGATATATTACCTACTGTAAATTAAGTTAAAAAGTCATGAAAAAAGGTAAAGCCATTTGAAAAGTTAAAAAGTAAAGGTAAAAAGTTAATAAGCCTAGAGTATTATATTTAGGTTTATAAACCAATAAAATGTAAGTGCAAGTATCAGCATTAATGCCTCCAAGGTTATGTTGGACCAAAAAATGTGTTCCTTTCACTCTCTGTTTTGTGTTGAATGTTTTTCATGAATTTCTTATAGAAGCGAGCTTTGTAGTTGGCGTTTCTTGTTATTACATTGATATTCATTTTTGCCATCAAAATATTCAGATTTTTTGAATATTACTAAGGTAATAAGGTCTTGTCCTGGAATCCAATAAGTAATAATTGAGTGCCCTATAAAGGGTTAAGAGAAAAGAATTGTGTTCAATTGCAAAAGCCCCAAACTTCCTGATCACAGCAGGCATCCTTATTTTAAACTGAATTAACTGGAATCCAAAACTAACATCAAGTAACTGCAAAAACATGCAACTGCAAAATTCCTAAACGACATAAATTAAACAAAAATATAAATGTAATAAAATGACCATATGGTGGATTTGAGCTTCATCTGAGAAAGATGTTTTAATTCCAAGAACAGGACACTCCTAAAGCTCTAGATCTACACCTGCTGAACGTCACCAGGGTTACCTCACTTCCTACTTACAGCCAACTTCCTTAATAATATCAAATGTGCCACTAATAACACAAAATAGACCACAGTGTACGTTTTGTTTCCATATGTCGTGTTACTGTGATCTATTTAATCAAAGCTGTAGTTAAAGCTGTCCAAATCTACTTGAGGAAAATCCAGCTCCACGTCGTCAGCACTTCAGGGACGCTGCTGATGGCTTCCTGGATCTCCCAAATCCAACTTTCACTTAAGAGTAAAACACTTTTTTCACGTTGTCAAAACGTATTGAAGTCCTCTCCAAGCACACACAACAACGTATTAAGTTACAGAGACAAACCTGAGAAGAACTAGCTACCAGCGAGCTAAGCTGCTCTATCGTAAAAACTTGAAAGGGCAACATATCACTTAGACATCCTAGCCTCACAGACTGAGAAGGGTTCCTTAAGTTAATGTTTACGTTAACAACATTAAACCAGAAAAAGCAGAAAAACAGCACCGTGGTACCTTAACGTCCCTCTAATTACCGATTGATGTGGACATGATGCAGTTAAGGCCTTCTTAGCGTTAGCTAGCTATCTGACATTCGTTTGTTTCTATATCAAATTCATTAGTTGCCGTCGAAATGAAAAGACGACTGGTGGCGATACTTGCCTGTCGAGTAAATAATAATTAGAAACTGCCGTTTTAAGTTGTTACGACTTTAATGACTTGGTGAGTAGTCAGACTACAGAGCTGCACATAGCTAGCCCAGCAACTTAGCTGCTGACAGGCACAACCCCGGTGCACTGAGGGCTGCGACTTCCTATGCAGCGTCTCACTGACAGTTGACACCGCAAGTACAATTAAAATAACTCGTATATAAGTACAAGTAGAGACAGTTTCACGTATTTGTGACGATGTGGTGTTTCTTTGATGTACTTACGAGGCGTAATGATGCCAGAAAAGAACTGGAATCGTCTCTATTAGCAATGGAGGGAGGAACACACTAGACATGCAAAATGGTGGCTACTCTAGCCTCAGCACATCCACTGCAGGCGGAAGACTACGCTGACAGAGGTTTGGTGAAAGAAGCGGGTAGGGCAAGCAGTTGTTGCATATAAGCAATACTCACTTTTTTTTCTTTTTTTCCAAAAGCAGTACCCCATTATATTTGCAGTTGTTTTTTTATTTATTTAATTGATGTAAGTAAAACAGTATTTGCTTCAAAAAGATTAATTAAAATGTAAAAGCTTTAAAATTTATAAAAGTTCTTTCAGTGTGTGAAGTGACCCTATTAATATTTACTGATGTCAAAACCCGCTGCGATGGAAGCATGTAGGAAAGTGGATGAATGGATGATTTTAAAAACAATATTTCCAATTAAAACTGATATTACAGACCTGCAAAAGTTTTCTTTTAGATAAGCAAAGGTTCAGAAAGATGTACACATTAGTTCTTTTAATAAATAAAAATAAATAAAATAAATAAAAATAAATACATACAAAAAAATATCAAAATACTTTTATTTATCAAATGTTTAAGGTGTTTATTGAGTACTTATATTTAATTGTATTGTACTGTACTGCATTATATATATTATATTGATGGCAACTGATGTGTTTTGATTAAGTGCTATAATGGCATGCCAGAATCAGCGCTCAGCTCAAGCTAAAACATACAGTGGTTAGCCTGGATCAGAGAAGCCCATCACAATCTGCCTCCGGTCGAGACCCTCTCCTGATATGCCAGTGTTTGCTGGACGCCATGGGTAATAATTCAGTCATATATATTTTTTTCTAGTTCTATCATGGGACGTGTGTCAGGGTCGTGGTTCCGAAGACATTCCCTCATTTACTTTTGCTCTGAGCTTGGTCGCTTTCATCGTTGTTGCATTGATATAAAGAGCTAACATTCGGCTTGTTAGCCACCAGTTTGCTATCAATATGTTTTTCATTTTTTAATTCAACATCAATTAAGTGTTTTACTTTAACGTTACGTGCATTAATGTTAAGCAATTCGCTTGTTTAATGATGCGATTGGCTTAATTTGTTGAGATGTCATATTTTCCGCTTAACCTTGCGGATGAATACATTTTTTAAAACCTTGTCAGTATCGTGCTGCGGTCAGTTTACTCGTGGCATTTAGTGATGACGACGACATGCGCTTTGATGACATTGGAGTGTAGCGCCACCTGGTGTTGATAGTGAGCTATCCAGGAAATTGTTATTTGGTCTTCTGTTGCACCAGGTGACTGTTGATAGAGAGTTTGAATCAATTATATGATTTGAGTATTTTTCTTTATAAAACTGTGTTATAAAGAGGTAAACATAAGCTGTTGTGGATTGTTAGTATTTTTTATTGTTTTAACGTTTAAATAGACTTAGATTTGACTTTATTAATCCCTTGGGATTACTCCCTTCGGGAAATTGTATTTCCAGTAGCAGGAAAAAAATTGCACATACAAGAAAATAGAGGATGTTTAGGCACAGTATATACAATAGAAAAATAAAATCAATTAAATAAGATGTAGGAAGATGTATTGGGGGATGAGGATAGACAAATAGATACAGAGGGCTATAGCAAAAACAATTACTTAAATTAACAGTTATGTAGTGTATTGCACTTGGATGGTTGAGGAAAGAGAGTGTCCAGATTATAAAAACCACAGCGAGTATCTACAACTCCTTCACTTCTGTTCTCTTAACTCTATTTCCTGCTCCCCCCCAGAGAGGAGTTATAGAGCCTGATGGCATGAGGGACAAAGGAGTTCCTGAGTCTGTTGGTCCTACATTTGGGAAGGAGCAGCCTCCCACTGAACAGGCTCCTCTGGTTGCTGAGGAGCCTGTTAATATAACTGCCATGAATGAGAATCTTTACAAATATATTTTTTCTTGGTGTATGATAATTATGGTATGTCATTTGCAGTGACTATATTCTATATTTAAAACAAAATCAGTGCCTTAAATGAATGAAGAGCATATTTGGCGCTGGAGTTTTCACATGTCCACACCCAAAAGTACACCTACGCTGTTTGACATTGTCAACCCAGAAGTTATCAAATGGTTGAACGAATAGCACTCCCTCTTTGGAATTCTGGAAAATTTGCTCCTTAAAACCAAAAACTTGCTGTTCATGTTTGGGGTTTTGTTTTTGTTTGGATGAACTGAGGACTAGAAAATACATTTCTGTTACTGCTTTACTGTAACTGATTCACCTTGCTGAAGGTTTTAATTTATAAAAAGCCTTGTGTTGGTGGTCTGTGTCCAAGATCTCTCTGGATTTTGCAATTGGTGCTGTTATTTCTATCATCTTTAAAAAAAAATAAAAATAAAACGGCACAGCTGGGGATAATCTAAGAAGACGGACAGAAAGCTGTGACTTTTAAATGTTTGTTTGACATGCTTGAAGTGTGTTTAAAGCGATTTAAATGTAGTAGGGGGTATTCTTAAAATAGATTTAGACACATGTTCCCATTTACTGAACAGAATAATGATCCCTGGCTACATATGGAAATCAATTACTACTCTGAAAAATTGTCAATCAAGTCACAGGAACGGGAGGTGGCTGAAAACATACATGCTTGAGAGACTTGATAATGAATGTTGAGAATCACAGTGTTAGTACAGAACATTAAAATTGAATAAAAGACAAATGGTCTTTAAATCCCTCAGGCATGCAACAGTTTGCTGTGTGTAGTTTATGTCCACCAGAGGGCGCTAAGATTGCTTCCTGTATGTCAAACCCCCTAGTCTTCTTGTAGGAATTATAATTAGTTATTTTCTTCGTATGTTTTGCATGTTTTTCGAGATTATTGGCACATATGTTTTTTTTTTATTCTTATTATTATCCAAAATTGTATATATTGAATCAGCTTTAAAGGCTACAGGATGTAATCTAACGACTTTAGAGCTCAGTTAATTGGTGTATGGAGGAGACAAAAATTAATTAATCAAAAATGTCTTTGTTTTGATTCCTTCCAAATTTAATTTATTAAGATGCTGCAATGTGAGGTTTGGTCATGTTTACTTTCCAAAAGTAAACCTTCTTCTCATTTTTTAAATTGTAAATACATGTGTAAATACTTTAAATGTTGTGTAAATTCTTATTCTTCGTATTTTCGTCATGAATTGATTATTTTATGCGTAATCGAAAATTTCGGAGGCGGTTGAAAAGAATAATCTAAAGGTTTTCTGAACACCTCATTTTACTTCCGCTGTCGTCGAACCCCAGCTCTCGTCCTTACTGACTACAACTCCCACAGTGCATTTCGGCGCGCCTTCAGCTATTTCTCATAGGAGATCAGCTGAGCTCGCGCTTCGCTCCTGCGAGCAGCCAGCGGCTCAGGATCGGAGCAGCTCGGGGCGCTTCGCCGTCCGTCTGTCTGTTGGGTTTGAGCATCATTTTAATAATAATAACAACCAGTTTTTTCTTTTTGAATCTAATAATGAAAGAATGTGACGTCCATTCAAACGCGCCGTGGATTTTTCTTGGTTTCCTCTCCCGTTATAGCGCTAACGTTTCCTCAGACGGAGCTGTGATTTGGAGCCAGTTTCTCCTGTAATCTGCTCCATCCTCCAGCCGCTCTGTTCGGGTTCACCTGGGGGAGAGTCCGGGGTTCTGGTAGCGCTCTGACCCTCTTTCTGGGAGGGGGATACTATGTCCAGACGAAAACAGACCAACCCCTTCAAAGTTGACTGTAGGTATCATTAGTATTTTTCCTTTTATTGTTTCAAACGCTTTTTCTCCTCATTGGGGTCCCAGTTACTCTGCTCCTCTCTGTCTAAAGTATTTCTGTGTGTCATTTTTAATGTCTTTGTTTCTGCTCCTTTGAAGTCACTTTATTCAGATTTATTAGACCAGTTTTTACATCTTTGTTTGTAAGTGATGTTCTAATGTGGCAGAGCTGATGTTTGGCAAACTTTTGGATGTTGTTCTTACTCTGCAGTTCTGTGCAATGATAAATTAAAAACAACCATGTCAAATGCCATATATGAAATCAAAAGGTGAGAAAAGTGGACTGAATAAACTAAGACACATCAAATTGGTCTAGTGGGTTAGAGCAATGCGCTTGTTCTCTGAGAAGGTTGCAAGTACCCGGTTCGATCCCCACAGCCTGGACTCTGGGTCCCTGAGCAACACCATTCACCCTGATTGCTCCCTGGGTGCTGCACAGTGGCAGCCCACTGCTCCCCAAAGGGATGTGTTGAATGCAGAAAGTAAATTTCCCCATTGTGGGACAATAAAGGGATTTACTTTTACATTTTTTTAATGAGTATCCAGAGAATATTTCATTGATAAAATGTGAAAGATGCATGGAAAGTATTTAAATTCCTAGATTATGCATTTTCTACCCAAACAGAGTAGAAGAGGATGTTTTATTTTCATTGTATGGGATGCAAAAAAAGTTTTTTAGTGCTATTATTGTCAAATACAGCTAGGGTGTGTTGTTTAATAGTTTGTGTTAATATTTTACAAAAAAAAGAACTGTGCAGTAGTTAGTTTGGTGGGCTGGGCGTACAAAAATTATGATGGTGAGTAAGGACGTGCTTTTGTCATATCCTTTATTGCCATTGCGATAGAATTCTCTTTCCGTCTAAATGATAAATTAGAATAAATGGTGTTTAATAACTAGAATAATTGTTTAATTATCAGAATTTACTTGTCTTTTTTTCCATCAGGGAGTTGATTAATATAAATTAAATGCAGTTGCTGTGGGATGTTTAGTGATATAAATCACATTTCTCTATGTAACTGGAGTCTTGTGTACGGAAATGTATCTTTTTTTTTTCAGAGCAGTATATGTGATTGTGGAGCTCTGATCATTTTTCCATGAAGCAGTGTTTTAATTCACACTTTTATAGTACATCAAAATATAAGATTTTAAGTATACATCACCTCAGCCCCAATGGTGAGCACACTTTGATATTTTCTGGCACTGCACAATTTTGTTGGCAAACACTCTTTCAGTAAGCATTACTTTTTTTAATCATTGCTTGTACTTTTGGATTCTGTGCTTCAAAATCCCTGATTAGTCATTAAATGCATGCTTAATA